GGCTGGGCGAGGGCGAGGAGCGCGTTCGGGTACGGGCGGGCGGGGGCGTGCTCGGGGAACCCAGCCTGGTGGGGGCGGGAACGGGGGCGCGCACTGGGGTGGGGGCGGGGACGGGCGGGCCGGTTCCGTGAGCACTCCCAGGGACGCGCTCGGGAGCGCGGAGCGCGCGCACAGTCTCCAGCGGGGCGTCCCCGCCCAGCCTAGCTCCTTGACTCCCCCTGGCTAAAGCAAAAAAAAATTTAAAAAAAAATACCTGCTGGATCCTTGCTTTAAACGCATGTACTGAACTTACAGTGTCCTGGATCCTCTCCTGTTGAGTTTTTGAAATGAACACTGGGGATGATGGTGCTGGGAAGAGACACCCTGGGCACCTGGGCCCTTGGGCCATGGAAAAAGCGCAGAGGTTAGACGTTTCTAGCTCTGAATCCAGAGCCGGCTAGCCTATGCTAAATAGGGCTTCAGTTTCCTTACCTGAGGAAAGGAGGGCAGAGACGAGATGCGCTTGTCTCCAAATTCTATGTTAGCCCTAAGAGCTTGTGACTTTAACACATGTCAGAACCAGTCCAGAGCATCTTGGGCCAAGCCTTGCCTCAGCTGGGGACTCCTCAGTAGGTTTGACCATGATGGATCCTTCTTCCATTCTCTTACCCTTACTGGAGTATCTGCTTCCACCTGTGTGCGGCTCATGACCAGATTTCTAATCCAGTCTACATCGTTTGAGAGAGACCACCTCACACCTACTAGGGGTGAACAACTCACCTAACTACCCCTCCTCTATACCCACACTCCACAAACTCAAAATGACACCAACTCCTCCCGACATTTGTAACTACAAATTTCTAATCCCTGCCACAATTCTTTTTTAACTATCCAGGCTGGAAAAATTCTAGACTCTTCTGCTTCCTGAAGTCTTCATACCCTCTGTTTCCCAATCCCCTCACCTACGTCTGACCATGGAGCCTCTGGCACTGTTGGAGCCCTGCTGTATGCCTGGGCAGTACTGATGCCCCTTCCCAGGGTACCCCACCACCACCATCTCGCAGTGTGACCTATGGCAATTGCTCCCTGAACACATTGCATTCATTCCCCCTTCAGAAAAACCTCACTAGTTTTTACTGCACTGTCTGCAGAAAAGTCCACCATCGGAGCGGGAGACTCAGACGCTGCATGTGCAGCTCTCCTGCCTTTGTCTTCTGGTTCCCAAAGACCCAGTACCTCATCTGGGTGCCTGCATCTTCTCTGCCCACACCTCCGCATCCATCCCTATATTCATTCCAGAAACTGCTCCTTCTTCCCTTTCGTGTCCTGGTACTTACTGCCCTATGAGATCTGCCCTTTCCTCTGCCTTCAGCTTCTGCACTGGTGTGAGCTCCCTGAGGAAAAAAACAAGCTTTCTTCATCTGTGTACTTCCCAGTGATTCCACAGTGGTGACAAC